TCTCTGCAGTTTGCTTACTTTTTGAAGATCAATCTTTGCTTCTCTCTTAAATCTGTTCATTTTACCGATTTATATCTCAGTGCATAAACAGTGGTTCTGACAAAGATTAGGGGTCAGAATTCACCTTCCTTCCACACCCAAATCTCCCTTTGGCTCAGTGACAGTGTGCAGAGACTTCAGGATTGACCCCTACATCTTAATATTCAAATGTTTTTTTGAATATTTCAATGAATTGTTGTATTCTAGTAGTGCTCACAATTCTTTAGGCACGGTTTACATGCACACATAGGAAGATACAGGCCCTGTCCCAAAGAGTTTCCAGTCTTAGAAGACAAACAACATATAAGGGCCTATGGAGAAGGATGTACTCACCATAAACACAAGTTGTTATGTACACGTTTGTTACTTTGATATTTTGTTTGGTGTTAAAGAAATGCACAGCAGCTATACCTGCTTGTCCCTCAACTTTAACTTCTCTATCGTTAGCTGGACAATTTCTTATAGGACTCATGAAAAAGTAGTGAGTATGATAGTGCAGCTAACAATTTGCAGGTCAGAATTTGTTACTTACCAGACTATCAATAACAACACTCCTTGGATACTTTCCTTCTAGCTCTGGACTGAAAGACAGAGTTTCTGTCCTTTAACTGATAACAATAATAATACATTCACATGCAACCCAAAAACCCCATACACATAAGGAGTTACTAGCTGCTGTAACACAATTAGACTTGCAAGAGCCAAAGCTTAATACATAAAGGCAATGCATTATGAAGAAGCAGGACCTTGTAATGCCAAAACTGAAAGATGCTTCCAGCAACACTGTCATAAACATACAGCTAAGGGTAGCATAAAATCCCTCTTTACGCTGTAAAGGATTAATTCCTCTTTACCTGTAAACGGTTAAGAAGCTCAGATAAGCTGGGTGGCACCTGACCAAAAGGACCAATAAGGGGAAAAGATACTTTCAAATCTGTGGGGGAAGGTTTTTTGTCTGTGTCTCCCAGAGTCAACAAGGAAGCAGGGCAGGGAAAATACATCTCCCTAAGCAATATCTGAACTAAGCATTGGTCTTGCCAAAATAGTAAGTAATAGCAAAGAAATGCGTTAGGTTACATTTTGTTTTAGCTTGTGAATTTTCCCTGTGTTAAGAGGGAGGTTTATCCCTGTTTTTGTAACTTTAAAGTTTTGCCTAGAGGGGAAATTCTCTGTGTTTTTGAGTCTTTTGTTATTCTGTAAAGTACTTACCATCCTGATTTTACAGAGGTGGTTCTTTTACCTTTTCTTTAATTAAAATTCTTCTTTTAAGAACCCGATTGATTTTTCATTGTTCTTAAGATTCAAGGGTTTGGGTCTGTGTTCACCTGTACCAATTGGTGAGGATATTATTCTCAAGCCTTCCCCAGGAAAGTGGGGTGCAGGGCTTGGGGGGAATAGGACTCCAAGTGGTCCTTTCCCTGATCCTTTGTCTAAATCACTTGGTGGTGGCAGCATACTGTTCAAGGCAAGGTGGAATTTGTGCCTTGGGAAAGTTTTTAACCTAAGCTGGTAAAAATAATCTTAGGGGGTCTTTCATGTGGGTCCCCACATCTGTACCCCAGAGTTCAGAATGGGGAAGGAACCCTGACAAACACATTTTAGTTTAGTAACTGAAATTCTCCTAGAATAATAAAGTCTTGAACAACATCAAAACTGGGCATGTTTACTTTTTAGATAAGAAATGATAGAGGGACCTAATAACAGTCTTTAAATATGCTAAGGGCTGTTATAAAGAGAATGTTGATCAATTGTTCTCCATGTCCACTGAAGGTAGGACAAGAAGTAATGGGCTGAATTTGCTGAAAGGGAGATTTAGGTAACATATTAGAAAAAAAAATTCCTAACTAGGCTTCAAAGGGGGTTGTGGAATCCCCATCATTGGAGGTTTTTAAGAACAGGTTAGACAAACACCTGCCAGGGATAGGTTAGGTATACATCATCCTGGCTTAGCGCAGGGGACTGGACTAGATGCCTCTTGAGGTCCCTTCCAGCTCTACATTTTGGTGATTCTACTCCTTGCCACTGATACCAGTATAACTGACACAATTTTCTGGGAATATTAGTCCCTGTGCAAAGTAATGGGGAGCAGCGGAAGGTGCATCCGAAATAGACATTTTGAATGAGTAATTATTCAAAGAAATTATGCATTGCACCTTTAGACCATGATCCTTTTCAGGCTTATCCCCTTTCTGGGACTTGGCTTCATTGGTAACTCAACAGCAAGACAACAAAAACACACCCCTTAGCTTAAGTATTCTCCCCAAGTTGACTGTTGCAAGGGTTTTCCTGAAGAGACTTTTTCCCCAGACCTTAGTTCCTTCTGTTTGAAGTGCCAATTTCATCTCCTGGCACAATGGCTCAGTATCTCCCCTGCAGTGTTCCAACCCCTACTAATGGGGTGGGTCAATATAACAAACTTTCTACCCTGTTGCACATAGGCATAAGTGTAACATTTGTGCTAGTGAGGGATTTTGGTAGCTTACTTTGTGGCCGCTAGTGGCAGTGTTAATGAGCAGCTTACACTGTTCATTGGGAATTGCAGTAAGTGCCTTTTCTGAGAGGGCACCAACCACCACCAGTACAATGCAGTTACTTACAGATCACACGAAAACTCTCTAATGTTTTGTCTCTATTGCACTAGCAAGCAACTAGCAGTTATTTCCTTTAATTCAGAGAAGGGCCCTTCCACACTGCTTGATGGACAGAAAGTCTCAAAATGTCACTGGAAGAGCTTGAAGCACCAAAATGGAGCTCTGTAGCACCAAATGTTGTCCAGTGTCTGTGTTTTGTCTTTTAACATGTGTTATCCATATGGGCATATCTGAGGTGACATAAGCTTAAATAAGACTCAAGCTAGTGAGGTGCTTAGCTTCTAACATGTACTCCCTCTTGGGCTTGGTGGCCTCTCAACATTAATATAGGACTGGCTTCCCTTGCCTTCTCTGTTTTGCTTATCCCTTTTTACCTTACACCTATATAGATAACTCTCCAAACCTGCACGGTGCACGGTCAATTTCTTAGGAGGCTGAGGAAGCTAACAGATGGAGTATGAACGGTCTTGTTGAAATGAAGCCTTTCTTGATCTATGGTGTCTGTGCCATTCATAACAGAGAGCTCTTCTTCTGAACTAGCTGCTGTTTTCTGTGGAGTTTCCAGGGTTTTACTAGTGGCTCTGTCCTTTTCAACATCTCTAAGTTGCCTCGTGGCAGTTCTGTTGTAGGTCAGGGCATGTTTTTCATGCTGACCAGACTTGGATTTCTCTCTCTGTTCTGGTGGTGTCTATTCTCCTTGTTTGGCTCTGTCTGGAGCTCAAGACCGATGGACACAGGAACATCTGGAAATTAATGCTGAGCTGATGGAACTTCTATTGATTGCTCCTTATGACCTTTCAAATGCCTTTTGCTTTTACACTGTTCCTTCTGATGGCTTCACTTTGAGTCCAACAGCTGAGGTTGGAAACGTTTGCATTACTTTTGCTTTAGGGCTGTCATGCCAAAAGAAGATCAATCTCATTATCTACCAATCCTATTTTTAGTGCGGGAACATCCTCAGGCTTATATTAATGTGCCATGATGCACAGACCCTTGATTGGAATTGAAATATTGTAGTTCACAGCCAACTGGTCTCTCGGTTGTCCCTGGGGAAAAAAAGTACCAGCTGGAAAATGGATTTTTTGTGCTATGTTTTTGTAATGAATCAGCCATGAGGAGGTAAGAGTCTTAAAGTCGTTAGGGGCCTGAGAAGGGAAGTGGGACGGTAATGCTGGTGTTGGGATACCCAGCCACAAGGGATCAGGGATGATGGGGGATAGTTCACCAAAATATGGAATTGTGTTATGTGATTGATTGACTTAGTTGTTGTTATAACACTAACCACTGATTTTTTTTCTCCCCGTGACTGAAGACAATGTACAGGGACAACCGAGGAATGCTGGCAGGGCAGTAAAGGGAAGCATAACCTGCTGCTGCCCATGTTCTATTCTATTCTTCTCTGCTCTGTTCAGGTTTGTGTGTCACATGTCACTGCAGTACTGGAGATCCTTCCAGTAGGGCATTAAGCAATGTGACTACACATCTGTCGCATGTTTGTTCTCTCCTCAGAGGGAGAAGTGTGTGCACTGGAGTGTCTTGGTTTGGTAGGATTTATATATATATATATATATAAAAATAAAATAAAATATAATATATATACAGACAGACACACACACACACACAGGATGGATGTGTTTATGTTAAAGCAGGCAGGTCAAACAAATGTGCTTTGCACTTGGAGAAGAAGATGCTGAGGTTTATGGTGGCACTTGGTTCCTGGGGTAGTCCATTCTACTGTCTTGGGCTGGCCCCTGAGAAGAACTTCTGTTTCCCGCACAAACAAGCTTTGCCCTTATTGTAGAGAGTTCATTGTGCCAGTCTCCAGGGCTGTCAGGTTGGCAGCTTTCATCAACCACTACATTAACTTTAAGTAAAAAAACCCCTAACCCAATCCTCCCTCCCTCCCCACCGAGAATTAAAAACCCAGCCTTCCCAAATCCTGCTAACGAGCTGATCCAACACTTGGACCTCTCTGTGGGTTAGCCTTCAGGCCCCACCCCTTTCTGCTGACGTCTTCCCTCTCTCACACATCAGACTTTTCCCAGTGGAGCTGGAAAACAAGCTTCAATGAAAACTGCCTGCTTGCGGCTGTAAAGGGATTGCAGGCACCACAGCCACTACTACTTCTGCTTTTCCCTGCCTGGCCAGGAACATAAAACCAGAAACTCCATCAGCAGGGTGGAGAGGCTGCTTCATTGCCTGGCAAACCTGGGATAATTTATTTCTCTCTTCAGTCACTTCTTTTCCCTGCTGTTATTGAGGCTCTTTTTCCTACTTCAAAGTGAATGAAACCAGGCTAAACTCTGAAAGGGAATGAATGAAATACATACTGCTTGAGAAGAAGAATCGCATGATTCTTGTGTAACATCTGTGCAGCCTGAAACAATGGTTTTGTCTGTCCCAGTTATAGCTCTGGGTGCCACCTTGGGGACTGCAACTAGCATCCTTGCCCTCTGCGGTCTGACCTGCTTGTGCAAATGCAGGCGACCTAGGAAAGGACTCTCGGGAAAGGACCAAGACATGGACACTGAAAATGCTAAGCCCAGTATGCTTCAGCCAGTCCAGCAGGTAAACCACCTTCTCTAATTTACTGTGCCACTTTTCTGTAAGTGTAGATGGCAGGAATGCAAATTCCGTGCCAGACTGTGGTGGGTGATTTATCACATCCTATTTGTTTGCAGGATTCAGGATGTAGCAACATTTCAGTGGGGGAGGGGAGACTCAGGTGACCTGCAAAATGCACAAAGCAACAGTCAGCTCAGCTGTCATTTTACCAAAGAGAAAGCTCCTGGTGGCAAAAATACAGAAAAACAAGATTTGAAATTCCACTCGAATTGTCAGGCTAGATCCCAGGGGAAATCATTTAGCTAGAACAGAAACCTGGACTCTACTAAGAAGCAGTCAGAACATAGTTGTGTGCAGAGTAGGAGCAGAATATCAGTAGGGTCAGAATCTTTTATAATCTCTCTCTCTCTCTGCACACACATACACCTATGGCTACTGCAGTATAGTGGAAAGGCTTCTATGTAAACAGCTGGTTTATTATGAAAACAATCCTCCTCCACATGTGAAACGGATGAAGTTTTAGGAAAGTTAAGACATGAGGTTAAAATTAGGTTTATAATATAAATCTAGTAACAACCTTAACTGTGGAGAGTCTACTTTCTCACCATGCCTACTGTGACCTGCTTTTTCTTTTCCTTTACACTTACTATAACAGCCGTTTTGAAGTGCTGCAAATGCCAGATATCCCTGGTGATCTGACTTAATTGCTCAAAGGATTCAATCAAAATAGGAGCATAGGGACTGTCAGGCTGGAATAGACTGACGGTCCATTTACTCCTGTGTCCTGTCAGTGGCCAGATGCATCAGCAGTAAAGTGTAACACTTCCCTGATGCACCTAATTATGGACTACTCAATACTGAACCTTGGGGAGAATTGTTTTTTAAAAACTTTTTTCCCTTGGCTGATTATGACCTCATGTCTGAAACATAAAGCCTGATGGTCACTGAAAGTTTTACCTTAGCTCATGTTACTGTAGACGCTATTCTCATTTATACGGGTCTAATGATTTTTTTTCTCATTCTTACTAAGCCTTAATAATATGCTACATCAGCTAGTTCCAATAGCTGATGATACATTGTATCACAAAGTCTTTATTCATTTGCCTTTAAATTACATGGACTGCTCTATTATTTTTGTATCACTGAAAACTGCAGTAAGAGTCCTAATTGGCTTTCTCTGTGCCATTCATTAGTGCATACTCAGTCCCTGTGTAATGGACTCTCTTTTTCTTTCCAAAGTAAATAGTCCCAGTCTCACCATATTTCTGCCGCAGTTGTTCTGAGACAAGATGGCCAAAGCTGATTATTTGCAGTGTTGTAGCCATGTTGGCCCCAGGATATTAGAGACACAAGGTGGCTGAGGTAATATCTTTTATTGGATTGACTTCCGTTGGTGAAAGAGACAAGCTTTCGAGCTACACAGAGCTCTTATTCAGGTCACCTGAGCTGTGTGTAGCTCGAAAGCTTGTCTCTTTCACCAATGGAAGTCAATCCAATAAAAGATATTACCTCACCCATCTTGTCTCTCAAAGATGATAACATTTGTGGTATACACATATAATGGCACCAGGTTTCCATATTATTGATTCTTTTGGACTGCCACTAGGTATTGAGTAGATACCCTTACTTAGATCTTTCCCCCTAGACATTACAGCTATTTCTGAAGCCTTCAGTGAGTAGGGTAGAGTGTGTTTTCCAATGGAGATTTGCCTGTAATTATTCTGAATTTCACCTGTTAATGTGTTGCCCAGTTTCCTAGGTCCTCCTCGGGTTTCTCATTAGCTTTGGCTAACCTAATAGATTATTATCTGCTGATTTTTTCAGTTTACTCTTTGATACAATACTACAACAAGACTGAGATTTTCAAAGTTTACAATTAAAAATGTATGGGAATTGGGTGCCCATGCCCCAAGGCTGCTGTGAAAAATTTCATTCCAAACCTTTATTATGCATCACTTTCACCTGTTTCCAGACTGTTAATATATTGAGCAGCACTATCCACAGAGCTCTCCATTATCCACTTCTTCACACAAAGACAATTTCTTTTCTAACGCTACTATTTATTGTTTTAGCTCTAAACCAATTTTTAATTCTTCATACGACTTCACCCTTGGAGTAACCAACTTTCCTGAATAGCCTCTTGAGAAAGACTTTAAGAGAAGCCTTTGGAAAGTGTTAATACATTTCTGTAGCTTCTCCCTTAGGGTCCCATCCTGCAAATTGCTAAGCATTCTGATCTACCACTGAAGTGCATTTAGATCTACCACTGAAATCAAACTGTGCTCAGGGTGCTCAGAACCTCGTAGGTTCAGGCTCTCATAATATTTATTAATTTAGCAAAGCTTGCAATATTTTAATATAGTATGTGACCAATATCTTGTTAAATTATTCACCCAGCTCTTAGTACAACATTCGTCTCCTCCTAGTGCTCCAGGGTAATAGTGTTTTGATCATCAGTTAGTTATTGTGGTTAGTATCTAATATTTTTTTTGCAAGAATTCCATAAAGATGATGTCTGCAAGATGAACAGAGCATTCTGTCACTGAAGGTGCAAAATGTCCCTAGTTCCCATATTCCATATGTTTGCTAGTTCTTTCCAAATTAAAAGGAACCTATTGCCAGGAACATGCACTCCCTAAAATGTCTCTGATTTAAAAGTACTCCATATTCACCATTACACCATTGTAAATCTTCAAATCTAGTTTGTCTGTGAAGTGCTGTACATCACCTGTGTCTGTTATTATGAACAGTCCTGTTGTTGTTGTTGTTGTTGTCCACTAACAGAAAGCTACTTTAATACACTGTATGTCCTAGCCAATGCTTGGAACACTTTATTATTGAGGCTTGTCAATATCAGGGGATTCTGATACACAGAGATGACAAAGAAAGAGGAAGCTAGACTATATTGGATCCACTGTTGTGTTGTTTTCTTTAACATTGACCTAACATTATTTGAAATGGGACTACATCAACATGAACTAGTTACCTCCTAGGGTGCGCCAGCCGGGTCTACATGGGGCAGTTAGAGTGCTCTACAAATCACACCTCACTAGTGCACTTTGCCGGAGCTGTGTAGACAAGCTCTATGTTTGCTGTATAGAACAGGCCCAGGGTTCTGAAAAGCACCTATAAACAGGATTGGGTCTTGTGCAAACAAAGATATATCTACAGAACAAGTAAAACGAGGTGGCTTTTATATTGTCACTTTGAAAAAGCCTCAGAGCATGGGACACAGTAACTACCACAAGCTTGTATTGCTTGTGAGTCAGATACAAGATCAGCCAAGGAAATAATCTAGGCCAGCGTTTTAATGATGTCAAGGAGGAACACAGAAGGGTCAAGAGCAGCGTCCTATCTAATTTGGTCTTATTTCATACAGAATGGATTCAGCTCTCTTGCTCTTCACTTTATTTGAGACTGCTGTAGTTTGATTTGTAAAAGGGACTTTCCGCGGGCAATGCTCAGTAAGAGTATCAGCTGCCAGCACTTGCGAAGCAGAGCTGGCAGCATGAACAATAAACAGAGGCAGATGCAGTTGGAGGGGGTGGATTGGTCCCCACTGGTTTGCATATGTCTCTCATCTCTAATTCTGAAGAGCAGACAGACTAAAGTATTATGTAAACCCAGTGGAACTGTCAGTTGTTGTGTGCTGATGGATTTCCTGACTAAGTGTCTGGCTTTTAGCAAGCAGGGGAAGTGATAGTAATAACAATACTTCATATTTGTATTGCATCTTTCATCTCAAAAGTTCCTCAGCTGCTTCACATAGTACAGACTTACACCACTGAAATGCAGCCACCTATGGTCTGGAGGGCAGCAGCCGGGTGGATAGCTACTGCAGAGCACTCTTTGTATAAGAGAGAAGGGAGAGGAGATGTTGGTCACAACCCCCAGAGCATGGGACCTTGTTTTGCAAGATATTGCCCAAAAGGTCCTGCCCACTGCACAGAACACAATTGATTTACTTTAGGAAGAGGAAAGTCTGACCTGACCATGCTGGGATTTGAACCTGTTATTTCAAGGAGTTTAAGTATTTCAGAACTGAGGTTTAAATCTCTAAGGGTGAAATCCCACTCCCTCCTTTTTGCCAGCAACAGGCTTACTCACAGTGCAAGTCCCACTTATGGCCAGGGCTGGTCCTCATCAGAGGGGTGAATTTCTCTCTAAGAGTATAGACCAGAGGTCATAAACTAGAGTGGAGAGAACATGGATAGTGGACTATGGTGAACAATCCTGCACTGGCTACCTGGGGAGATAGAGGCAATGACCTAATAGGACTCTTCCATTGCTAATGGCTATGACACTATGATTCTGTGGGCATCACATGCAGAGTGTGGTTAAAAACCAAACTACATTATTCTTTTTGCTCTATTGAGCTGCTCCTTGAGGAATGGGAATATTCCCTAAGGACATGGAATCTGGGAGCAAAAGGCTCTAACTCAAGAGACTGCTTCTCCCATGGTACCATCCACATTCACTATTAATATGAATCAAAGTAACTAATGGAAAAACATGAATTACAATTAAGAATATTGTCTTGCTCACTCTCTCTCTCTCTCAGTCTAAATGTAAAATGAAATAGCTTGGAAGTTAATGGGACAAGAGATCCTTCCACCACAGCATGCTCACAATAAAATAGTCTTTTCCACTTCTCCAGCACCGTTCACACAAGATCCTCTAAATGCTTTAGAAGCACAAAAGCAAACTGATCAGAGTTGGAGTAGCTCCTACTCAGTCTCTGTTTTTTCCATGGACAAATCCAAATATATGTTCACACAGAGTGATTTAAATTTCACATAGCTGGGATTTACATTTAGAGTGTAGGTGGGGATGGAATTCAATGTCCCATTGACAGATTTTTTACCTGCCTCACCTTATCAATGAAGGGTTCCTATGTTGGGTGAGCTATAGCAACAATCCCACAGCTCTGAGTTCATTGTTGTGCTTTTCGCACTATCCTTCTGTACTCTGTGTTGATTCTTGTGAACCAGCATGGGACTGAAACCATAAAATGAACTCTGACCTCTCAGACCAAAATGTCAGACCAGCTAATCAAGGAACTTGTACCTTAATTTGTTGATGCTGTCATCTTGTTTGTTCCCTGGAAAGTGCTCAGACACTATGGTGCTGGGTGAGGTATAAACCAGAATCAGTAGCCAATGCCTGATGATTCCAAGAGAAATGGAAAAAAACCATCCTACAGAGGACAGTATTGATAATATTTTCCCATGAAGCTTTGAGAGAAAGGCAGGGCCTGTTGATCTAAAACTGAGATGGACCTGACCCCACTCCAAACTTTGCAACTGGCCCCTCTCTGTGTAATCAGCAAAACAAAAAAACAAGATCTGAACAGTTCTGAAACCAAGGCCTGAACTTTGTGACTCAGGCCTGTCTTGAGTTCAAAATCCTTACTGCCAAACTGTTATTATTTATATTACAATAGCACCTGGAGATCCCAGTCAAGATCACAGCCCCATTGTACTAGACATGACAAATGCATAGTAAGAACCATTACCTGACCTAAAGAGCTTACAGTCTAAATAGAGAAGATGGACAATAGGTGGAAGAGGAAACAGAAGCTCAGAGAGATAATGTTATTTGCCCAAGGTTACACAGTTGGTTAGTGACAGAGATTAGAATACAATCTAGGCTTTCTGACTCTTAGTCCAGTGCACTATCCATTAGACCACACTGCCTCTCACCATGGACTCTATGTATTTTTAAAGCTACTGCAATTTACTTATTGACAATCCACTGGATCACCATTCCCCAGGTTTGCCCCTGGACCTCCTCTTGAGCCAGTTACCCTTTAAGCAGTTTCACAGCAATTTTCTTTATAGGAAACATTACATATATTTCCTTTGCTGCTTGTATGAAGTTATTTCACTGCTCGCTTTCCTGGCTCAATTTAGCTGTCACTCCATTAACTTAGTTTCACAACAGCCAGCAATTTGATTGCAAAATTCCTACTGAAGTTAGGATAAAGCCACTCAGAGGCTAAGCATTAGGATATAGTCAGCAGATAACTCCAACCACAGGAAATATTTAGATGAGAGAGGCTAAATGTATGTTCAGAAGCAGGGAACAGATGTTTAGATAGTTGGCTGTAGATGGGGACAGGAAAGAAGTTTTTCCATTGCTGTCCTTAACACAGAGATAATAAGATTCAATATTTGCAGAGCATGTTGTTGAAAGAACAGTAGACTCTTAGGTCTGGCCTTGTGAGGATGCAATAAGCCTTCCCACTTCTAGGGGCAGTCACAATCCCAGTCCTTGTGTTTCCTGAGTCCAATGACGGGAGAAGTAACACAGCACTGCCAATGGCACTGGACATCCCAAAACATGTGGGGAGGTATGACTGTCAGGCTGTGGCTGGCAAACCTGTGGGAAATGCATATTACACCTTCCCAAGGAGGCAGTGTGAGCACTAGTCTGCCTGATTGTGTGATCCAAAGGAAGCCAGACATCAGTCACAGCACAGACCCAGCTCCATTCACAGCCTCTGAGACTAGTGAGGAATTGGCATAGACATATAAAGTAGGGGCGTATTGCTACTGTGAAGTGGAGCAGGAAATCGACAAATGGGAAAGTTTCCCTTTTCTATTGCAATATGTGTTGAGGGGTGAGTCTGAAGAGGACGCAAACTGAGAAACTGGGCAACAGGTTTGGCAAGGAGATCTCTTCATGGTAGATCAACCATGTAACCATGGCAATAGGAATGATTGGATGGATCATTTTTTCCCTTGGTCTGGGCTCAGCTGGTCTTGGGCAAGTTGGTAGCATTAGTCTAATTTATACAGAATAATGAACAGGCTCTTTATTTCAGTTCAGCGTTAAGAAGACTACTGAACCCATCCAGCCTCGGCCCCTCCTGAAGTTTCCCAACATCTATGGCCCAAAGCCAGTCGTGACTGCCCCAGAAATTGTTAACTATGTGGATTATGCCTTGAAGACAACTGAAGAGCCAACTAGAGGAAAAGATGAAGTTCAGGATCAGAACAGAATGAAGATACAAGTCAATGAGGAGTTATTTGTTCTCCCTCAAAATGGTAGGAGCATTTCCAAGTCCAGTGGAACCATTTCCCCTTCAGACTGGTGACCACCGCTCCAATGCCCAGGTGTCTGATAAGCAACATAGGACTTGTACACAGGATTAAAATGCAGTTATAATCAGAATGGTAGATGTAAAAATGACCATTTAGGGCTCCATAGTTCTTCTCTCTCTCAATGATCCCATCACAAATGTGCTCAGTTGGCAAACCACCTGAGGCTTGCTCTGTCCACCATCATTTTAAATGTGGTTGATTAAGATAAAGTCAAGATGGAGCCCATCAGGGGGTTCCATTAGTGAAGCAGAGGCACACACCAGTGCCCTGAATAGTTTTAAATCCAGAGTCCTCTGACCTTAGAGAGTCTAATTCTAACTGTTTGCATCTGGCAGCATTTCATGCTTGTAATGGTTCTGTGCCCATATTGATTTTACTTCCTGAACTGCCTTTTTAACTGCACAATTCATCCAGGTGGCTATAACATTAATACAGTCTTCCTGGGGATTTTCCAGTGGGAACAATGCACTCCGTGCATGGTTTATATAGAGATTTATTTTTAATTTGAAAAATCACTTGACAGTTTCTCGGTCTCTTTCTGGGCAGAGGGCCACTCTCCCAACCCCTCCTCACTGGGAAAGAAGGAGGCGGTGAGCATTTAAGCATCAGCCGACAGAGTCAGAAGGAAGGCAATAGGACTGGGCTGCTAAAGCAAGCTGGCTGCACATAGGCTGGCACCAGAGCTTGAGGTGTGTGTATCAATGCACTAATCTCTGTGCACTACCAACTCCACAAGTGCTCTGGCTTCCTGCTGTGCCTGATTCCATAGGTCAAGTGTTATTAAAATAAAACAAGAACTGTTTGCTTTCTCCTCTGTATACCATGTCACACTGATTTTGAGTCTGACTGGCATTTGCTTGGGGAATAAGTCCCAGCCCCCTACCATTGCTGCCTTCTGGCACCTGATCCAAACCAGTGTACCAGTGTCCGACAATAAAATACTGTGGCTTCCTTTTCAGTCCTGCCTGTTACTTTACTTGAGGTAATTAACCTAATATATACCCCCATCCAAACAGCTTCACCACTTGCTACCTAGCCAGGCACTGTGGGAATTAAGGTAACAGTTTCCTTCTGTGTGGGAAAGAGGATCCCCTAAAAAGGATTCATTCCAATAGCTTTAGTAAAATTAGTTAGTTATGTAAGTGGAATCAGAGTCAGCTGTGAAGTCCTTACCCCCAAAAACTTACAATCTAATTCAGGGAATATGTGAAAAAGAAATCCAAGAGCAAGAACATGTGTTGTTACCATGGGTGGGTAATGGGGTGAGATGTATGGCTGGTTCCTAAAGCCCAGGTAGCACACAGAAAGTGAAGTCTGTCCACATCTGGAAGGAGGTGGAAAGTGAGACGGGGAGGGCAGCGCTACAGAACAGAGTCAGTGAAGCCAGGTGGTGAATTTGGCTTGATGAGGAATGAAGCCTTGTTAACTGGGCTACTTCAGTTCCAGGTGCAGTAAAGGATGTGTGTGTCACTGAGCACCTGAACCCTGAGAAAGCAGCCAGCTGTAACCAGGTCCCTGAACTCCGCTATTCCCTTGGGTATGATCGACAGAAAGCTGAGCTGTGTGTGGCCTTTCTTGAAGGTAAGTGGCTCCCCATCCTGCATACTTTATATAAACAAGCCTTTATTTGAAAGATACAAGATATCTTCTGACTGAAAGTATTTAATCTCCCATATAATAATCAACATGTCCCCACAGAACCGAGAGACATTTTATTGGCTATGGGGCTTTCAAACTAGAATTGCCAAGAGATTTCACTGCTTGAAAATAATGCACCATGGTTTAGCAACAGCTCGTGCGGTTCAAAGGCAGTATGAAGGAATCAGAAGGAGTTTGTCCTATTCTACCCATGTTAGAGGTGGGCAGATAAGGATCCTTCTCTCTTACTGTTGTTTTAAGGCGATGCGCCCAATGAGGTGACAGGCTCAACATCCCCTTCCTCCTCCTCCCACCCCTCCAGCCAAACATTTTTTTTTTGTTCAGCCCTTCTGTCTGGTCCTGTAAAACAAATCTAGATGAAGGACAAACAAGCACATGGATTTATGATTCACGTAAGTGACAGGAAAATCTACACAGCTTCCCACAGCTAGACTATCAAAAGAAAAGTCTAACACTACATACAACAACTCTCTTACTCAGGTCAAGTTGGAGGAAGGGATGTTTAAATCACATTCCTCTTATATACCCTGTGGATAAGGTAACTCCCTGCAGCTAAGCCTAGCCATGTGGCTGGGCTCTCTGGCAAGCTCACTAAGGACGGACAGTTAAGGGAGCCTCCTTACTACTCAGAAATAGAAAGCTGTTAACCCTCTCCTTGCTAGTCACAGTCCTCCTGGGAGTATAAAGCAGAGCTGAGTGAGTAATGCAGAGATAGTACAAGTTCCCCCTGAAAACCAGCCCAGCTATCACCTTCCCAAGCAAGGACTGAAGGGTGTTAAATTGCAGCCACCATCCTGGGCAAGCTGCCTGCAACAGGTCCACAGCCTTGAGTTTCTGAGGTTGACGTGCATGTTCAGTGAGCGCTCATACACATGTTGTACTCTCCCTGTCAGCTCAGCAGGAGCTCTACTCTCTTAAGGAGACAAAGGAGTCTCCTGGGTTTCAAAGACTTGCCCGCTCACAGCTGCTGAGCCAGTGGGCAGAAGGGCAGCTTTCCACTGACAGATATGCACGCTGACTTTTGTGGTAACAAAGAGGCCTTGTTGCTACATTACCCAGCTGAGGAGTAGAGACGTTGCTGCAGCCCTTGGCCTGGAGGGCTGATAGGTTCGTCACTGTTCATGGAACGTGTGAAATGATATTTTATGTACATTTTTCATTTGAGACCTTTCAGCCTCGGGATGAAATAAAGAATAGGAAAATCTGGGGCTGAATATCAGGAGGAAAATCGTAACACTAAGCAATTAGACTGTGGAATGGTCTCCCAAAGAAGCCATTTCAAAAAGACTGGACAAAGCACTTGGGAATGAACTTTAGGGACATACTGCACTGGTCCCTGGGGGATGGACCAGATGTGCTAAGCAGCCTTGTACACCTCTACCTTCTGTGACTGACCAAGTCCCTTTAATGCATTTTATATGAGGCTCTCTTTCTGATCCAGTGTGAAGATAAATTAAAATCCCCCTTTTCCCCCCGAATATCTCATGTTGTGTCTTCTCAGGCTACTGGTTCAGTGCCCTTGAATGATGCACGTTTACTTGAGTGTGATGCAAAATCTCCCAGACAATAACAATATCCTTGTGCATTTGCTGAAGGACAAAGACAATAATATTCTTGGGCATGTTGAAGGAAAAATAAATAACATTGGGCCCTGGACTTTGGTCTCTCCAGTGCTAGTTAGAAGGAACAGCAGGTTTTAGCAACATCTTGGATTTCATTTTATGACTATAGTGAGACAGGCAAAGGCCCCACTGCCTTCTGCCTTTGCATACCTAGCCCTTGTGGTAGGATGTTTCTTTTAATGCAACCTTCCCTCTCCTTGTCCTCCAGCTATGCATGGAAGCATGATAGGGGACCAGGATGCTGGCTGTGACTACTACATCCTGGGCACCTTGGTGAGCAAGTCTGGCACCACAGAGGCCCAGACAGTGCTGAAGAAGAAAGTGCACCACATCATCTGGGAGGAAGCTCTGCTGTTCTCGTTAGCCGAGGAGGAGGTGCTAGAAGGGATGCTGACTCTCACCTTGAGGAACTGTGACAGGTTCTCTAGGCACAGCATTGTTGGGGAAATTAAACTGAGCCTGGCTAATGTGGGGGAACCCTTCAGAATGGCCCAGTGGGAGAAACTGAAGACCCCGGAGAAGGTATCATGTCAATACTTATCAGTAGCTCAGGCAATATAACAAGTTAGTTTCCAAAGTTAGAGACGCTTATTTCAATAGGACTGTATTTCAATGGGCATGTAATAACCAGGTTTGCATTTACACTGGGCCAAATTCTGAGTGGTGATGAGCCTCCACAACTCCAAAGACTTCAAAAGATCAGCGGCACAATTCAATATCTGACCATTTCAGCAAGTAATCAAAGTGCTCCAACTCAGCTCCTAACCTTATAGCTCCCAGCACCTACACATCCCTTCCTTCTCTTTGTGTTACCTGATAATCAATCACTGAACTACAGTAAAAACAACAAGAAGTTCTTGTGGCACCTTAGAGACTAACAAATTTATTTGGGCATAAGCTTTCATGGGCCCTTAACCCACTTCATCAGATGCATGGAGTGGAAAATACAGAAAGCAGGTATAAATATACAGCACATGAAAAGATCCGAGTTGCCTTACCAAGTATGTGGGGAGGTCAGTGCTAACGAGGCCAATTCAATCAAGGTGGATGTGGCCCATTCCCAGCAGTTAACAAGAAGGTGTGAGTATCAACAGAGGAATTTTTTTTTTTCTAGTGACCCAGCCACTTCCAGTCTTTATTCAGGTCTAATTTGATGGTGTCAAGTTTGCAAATTAATTCCAGTTCTGCAGTTTCTTGTTGCAGTCTGTTTTTGATTTTTTGTTGTTGTTGAAGAATGGCCACTTTTAAGTCTGTTATTGAGTGTCCAGGGAGATTGAAGTGCTCGCCTACTGGTTTTTGAATGCTACAATTCATGTCATCTGATTTGTGTCCATTTATTCTTTTGCGTAGAGACTGTCCGGTTTGGCCAATGTACATGGCAGAGGGGCATTGCTGGCACATGATGGCATATATCACATTGGTAGATTTGCAGGTGAATGGGCCCTTGATGGTGTAGCTGATGTGGTTGGGTCCTATGATGGTGTCCCTTGAATAGATATACAGACAGAGTTGGCAACGGGGTTTGTTGCAGGGGTTGGTTCCTGGGTTAGTGTTATTGTTGTTTGGTGTGTGGTTGCTGGTGAGTATTTGCTTCAGGTTGGGGGGCTGTCTGTAAGCGAGGACTGGCCTGTCTCCCAAGATCTGAGAGAGAGAGGGATCGTCCTTCAGGATAGGCTGTAGACCCTTGATGATGCGCTGGAGAGGTTTTAGTTGGGGGCTGTAGGTGATGGCTAGTGGCGTTCTGTTACTTTCTTTGTTGGGCCTGTCCTGTAGTATGACTTCTGGGTAAAGAAAGTAACAGAACACCACAAGCCATCACCTACAGCCCCCAACTAAAACCTCAGCATGGAGATGCATTGCAGAGCTGTGGGGAGGGTGTGGCAAGCAATGGAATACAGAGGGTGCTGCAAGTTAGGATTGAGTGGAGCTGCATGTTGGAAACAACATCTGCCTCTATCTTGCATTAATCTAGGCAGTGCTATTATTTTTTTGTTTTTGTGAGTACCGCATGAATTTTGAGCACTTGTGAATTTTTAAAAAAGTAAACCCTGAGCACCAGGATCAAATAGAGACAGGATTGAGACAGAACCTGGGTTCTAGACAGAGCAAACAACATAGCAAGGGACAAGCATTACTGACAGTGTTGCTGAACACTGAAATAAGTAATCATCTGGCCTTGTAATACCTGAGGACTGCACAGTGACTTTACTTGAATCATAGAACTTGGAATCTGCATCACCAGTTTCCCACAATGCTAATTTACCTGGACAGTACTCAGATACTACAGTGATGAGCACTATAGAAAACCCTGAGATAGACAGATGGATGGTAGGAATAAATGGATGGCTTGGATCAGTTTAGCAGATGGTGTTTATGGCCTTGGCTACAGGGGAAAGTTTCACCAATTACATTGGTAGAACCCCCCCCCCCCCCCCCCCATGTGGACACACTTGTTCCAGTATAAGAGTGGCTTTTTTTGGTTTAACTTAATCCCTCCCCACCCAAGCCACACTTCTACTGGAATAAGAGTGTTTACACAGGGGATTAGATCAGTATAATTGTATTGGTCTACATTCACACCTTAGGCTATACCAAAAAAGCTTTTCCATAGAGACGAGGCCAAAATCTGCTCCAGTAGCCATTATACAAAAGGTGCCAAGAAGCTCCCTGTATATAGGCTTAGGAGACACCAATACATCTTCAAGATGACAGGACCCTAGACATATTGTCCCTTCTGCCATGGTTCATCTTTACAGCCATTCACTTGATAAGGCAAGACTGATTCCTTTTCTAACCCGCGAGGAGTAGGTTAACATTAACAGTGGCTATGAACAGTGCCCCAGTTTGAGCTGAAAGATGTGCAGTGAAAGCTGTATTTGCGTCATCAGGGACCTGGGCGAACCAATCATTACACAGCCAGCTTAAATACAAGTCATGAATCATTAATTGAGAGCCAGGGCGGGAGGGAATGAGGGAGCAAGAGAGAGAGGATCAGAGATAGGAGCTATTTTTGTCAGTGTACATCCAGGAACAATGTTGCTGGGATTTGTTTAAAGTTTGATATTTCCTTGAAAAGCCAAGAGCTGCAAAAATGTCAAACCCACCCTCTCTGGAATACTCCTACACAAATATAAGAACGGAGATGGGCGCTCACAACTGGCCAGGTGATGTCATTGCTCTTCGGAAATGTGTAGAGTGCTGCCGCTGGTTCAGAGCAATGTTCACCACATTATGAAAACTTCAGATGTTAGACTGGTACCACTAGTCGTGTCCTCCTCCCCTCCCACTCGTTTAATGCTCTCTGCTTCCATAGCACTTTCCATCTCAAGATCTCGAAGTGCTTCACACACATTAGTAACTGATGAAACCTCAGGGTGTGTTGATGTGGCAGGTAGTTATTAGAGTCCGGCAAATAAGTGATTTTTTTTTTAGTTCACTGCAGTTTTGAAAAATTGAAAAAATAATTGGTTCTACCTGAACCAAATCCAAAAATTCAGAAGAATTTTGATGAATCAAAAAAGTCAACCAAAATTTCATTCAACCTGAAACAAGCTGTTTCATTTAATTTCCAGGTACCGTATAACATTAAAAGCAAAGGAAATGAAGAACTAGATTCACAAAACAGCCAAAGGAGAAGGTTTCACTGGAGCAGGGATTTGAAATTGGGTCTCCCACATTTTAGGAGAGTGTCCTAATTGCAGTGGTGTAGGGTATTTTGGGATTGGGCTTTCTCAGTCTTTTCTGTCAAAACTGTTCTATTTTGTATAAAATACTTGGATAGCCAAATAGTCAGTCCCCAATGCTGCAGAGCAAGTCATTGGCTATGTCTTTACTGGGGGTGGGGGGCGGGAGTGTGTGTATGTCTGTGTTTACGTTGAGATAGATAGCTCTCTTGATATGAAATCCTAGTGGAGACAAGTAACAGCAGTTTTTTCCTAGATGTAGCTAGTGGAGGTACCTCAACTAGTTACGCTGAGGTGAGAGCCACCTGTGCCTTATCTCCAGTGGGATTTTACATTAAGAGAGCTATCTTCATGTGTAAATACATAATATTTTCAGTGAAGACATAGCCATTGTCAAGAGTCTGACTAGAATCCATGGCTACTGCCTCTCTTTAGATTAATTTAGATTTAGGACACTTTTTTCAGAAGGTGGATGAGTACAAGGTTTTCAATGTTGCCTGCGCACCTTACCCGAGTTCATGAAAAAGATTTACATTGGCTCCTCTGAGGACTTTGCTTAATCTGAGTTTGGAGTTTCCCTGGTAATGACTTCTTGGCTGTGTATGAGTCATTCCAATCAGATAGTTATGAGAGCAACATTTTCTAGAGAGTAAATCTGTTGTTAATGAATGTCTGTTCACATCCACAGCAGACAGCAAGCAGAAAACTTAATCTGAAATATTTATAGCCTACTTAGAACTGAGAGAGGAAGGCACAAAAAAGGCCTGGATAAGGGATCTCTCTCCTAAAGATTCTAGTCTTTGTTGGGAAGTCCAAAGGGAATCCACTTAATTGAACAGTGGCTTTCAAGGACCTTTCTGGACCATTAAACTCACATTAAAATGGGGTTTCTGTCACAAGCTGGTGCTACTTGAGTGAATGATTACTTCCCCTTTGCTTCCCCCTTTCATATCTCTGTGCACACACACATTTTCTCTTTCACTCCTCTGACTCCCCACCAGAAAACAATGTCATTTTCAAAGGAAAGATCAGTTGTCAGCGTGATTATTTTCCACTTGTTCTGCCTAGAGGTATACATGGGGGTGGGGAAGAGAGAGAGAAAGAGGAAGGCGAGAAGGCTAAGAAGCCAATCACTAATGGCAGAAAAGGAATACCTTGCTCATTCAGAGCATCTACCTTAAAGAAACTAGAGCAGGGGTGGGCAAACTTTTTAGCTCAAGGGCCCCTTCGGGGTTGCGCAACTGTATGGAGGTCCAGGTAGGGAAGGCTGTGCCTCCCCAAAGAGCCTGGCCCCCGCTCCCTCCCACTTCCCGCCCCCTGACTGCCCCCTTAGAACCCCCAGCCCATCCAACCCCCCCCCCACTCTTTGTCCGCTCACCACCCCCTCCCAGGACCCCTGCCCCCTATCGAATCCCCCTGCTCCCTGTTGCCTGACTGCCCCGACCTCTATCCACACCCCCGTCCCCTGACAACACCCCCGGGACTCCCACCCCCTATCCAACCGCCCTCTGCTCCTCGTCCCCTGACCACCACCCCAGGACTCCCACCCCCTATCCAACCGCCCTCTGCTCCTCATCCCCTGACCACCCCTCCGGGACTCCCACCCCCTATGCAACCGCCCTCTGCTCTTCGTCCCGACCAGGGCCGGCTCCAGGGTTTTTGCCGCCCCAAGCGGCGGAAAAAAAA